CCTTCCTTCCTTCCTTCCTTCCTTCCTTCCTTCCTTCCTTCCTTCCTTCCTTCCTTCCTTCCTTCCTCAAAAATAGAAACAAAGGTGTTTCTCAGAGGTATCCTGAGTGTTCTAAAATAGGCTTTTACTGCTTTTACCAATGACCTGAAGAAACATGGATTAAAAACAAGTCAGAGTTCGGTTATGAACTTTTTTTTATGCTGAGGTTGGGCACTACAGATTTTGACTTTAGGGAAAATGCTAGTCTGCTATTTGGTGTAGAGACAATTAAACTAACAATTCCTGCAGTATGATGTTTTCACCAGTCTGTGCCCAGTTACCAGATATGTCTACTAGCATATTTATTTGATTTATATAATAGAATAAGCTTTAACAGATCTGTGACCTATGACTGGGTGATACAGGAGGTATTACTAGACAGAGGCAAACAGAAGGATATACCTCAAATTTAGCAGATGGAAAAGAAAGAAAAATGTTTTATATATACTTTATTCCATCTAGGTCCCAACATGTTGCACTGGGATTCTGGGGTTGATTCCCCAGCCTCAAGCACAACAGTCTCTGAGTCCAACATGTTGTCCCTGATATATCATCTGCTGACTGGACAGGCAAAGAAGCCTTCCTATTACTTCATAGCCTGCAGGAATGCCCTTCACCTAGTTTGGAATAATATACCACATTTCTTTCTTTGCCAAATCTATATAGTGTTGCCAATCAGGTATTTGTAGCAGTTTAGAAGTAAACAAACTCACCTAAAATGATTGCTTAAAAATATATCCTATCAGATTTTAAGGAAGATGTATTTTATAGGATGAGAGGAGAAAACTTCTACAGAAAATAAAATGCATACAGGAATCAAGTTGCACTAGACCAGTCTTCCCCAAACTTGGTTGCAGATGTGAAATCCTTAAATCTCAGTCATGGCCATGCTGGCTGAGGAATTTTGAGAGTTAAGGCTATATATTTTGTAGGCACTCAAATTGGGATGACTGGCCTAGAAGCTCCTTGAGCCCCACTATCATACAACAATAATGTCATGGGTCTGCATTGCTCCAGAGGATACCATGAGAATGGTAGAATGGATTTGGTTCTCACCAAACCATTGTAACTATTGTAGGGACTAAGCTCAGGATATGAAGTTGGTGGTATGCCAGGCTCTAGAAATACAGGGAAGGCAGGTATGTCAAGGCCAGATGATATCAAATTTACCAGATTCAGTAGAAAATCCACATAAAATTTATTTCTGTTATGAATCATTAATTGCCTTTTAATCAATCACATTGCTAATCTCATAATTCCTTCAAACAGTTAATGTCACTTGCTCAAGATCACTGAACAAGTATCAAGATGGAACTAAGTCTGAATTTGGAGTTCTATATCATTCTAGATTATTCAGTATCATAGTATTGGAAACCACACTGCAAATTCCCAAAGAAATAAATAAAACACTTTTTAAAAGTATGGACTGGATTCTAATATTACAGGCCCTATGTATCGATCTAGCACTAAATAGTAGCAAATAGAGTTTTCTGTGTCTCTTTGTTGCCTTCTAGTGGT